CCAGGCTGGCTTTGAACCTTGATCCTCAGATCTCAGCCTCCTGAGTAGCTGGGATTACAGGCCTAAACCACCAGTGCCTGGCTCCCTTAGCTTTTATTGAGCAAGGCTAGCCTACTACCACTTAAACCACTTTTCTGGTTAATTAAAAATAAGAGTCTCATGGACTTTTCTGCCTTGGCTGGCTTTGATCTGGGATCTTCAGATCTCAGCTTCCCGAGTAGCTAAGATTACAGGTGTGAGCCACAGGCACCTGGCAAGAGGTGACTTCCATAGTGAATCTGGCAAGTAGCAGACCTGGCACTCAGGGCCCAAGGGCATTTTATTGGTATAGATTTTTTTTTAATTTTTACTCAAACCTCAAAATACGTGAACAGTGCCCAGTAGTTTATATAATCCTAGCTACTTGACTAAGTCCATCCTGGGAAAAAAGTTAGCAAGATTCTATCTCAAAGACCAAACTGGTTTGTGGTGGTTCACATCTGTAATGCAGGCTGTTCAGGACACATAAGTAGAAAAAATACGATCTGAGGTGAGCCCCTTGCAAAAAGCACACGATTCTTGACTAAAGCAACAGGGGCTGGAGGTATAGCTCAAATGATAACACACTTAACCAGCAAGTACAAAGTCCTAAGTTTCAATTGTCTTCCTGCCCCCTACCAAACAAAAAAAAAGCCTCGTAATATTCATGGTATCCTATTTGTACGAATTATCCAGAGAAGTAAATGTCTAGAGACATAAAACAAATTCGAGGTTGCCAGGGCAGAGGTGAAGGAAGAAGGGGTTAGGGTTTCTGTTTTTGATTTTGAAAATGTTCCAATATTAGATTGTTGGTGAGGTTCTCACTACTCTATACTAATTTTTGCCAGGTGCTGGTAGCTCACACTTGTAATCCTAGCTACTTGAAGGGCTGAAAATAGAAGGATCATGATTTAAGGCCACGTTCCCAAGACTCGTTCTCAGTTCTTAGCCAGATGCATTGGTGTGCTTTTGTCATCTCAAGCAACACAGAAGGCCAGCTGGCTCCAGGCCAGTCTGAGCAGAAAAGTAGGAGAGACTCCATTCTGTGGAGAAAATCCAGATACACTTGTAAGCTCCTGTAATCTCAGCAAAAATAAGGTAGCCTAAAGTAAGTGGTTGCTATGCCCAGTTAGGAAGTGAGACTCTGTCTCAAAAATAACGGCAAAAAACCAGGGCTTGAGATGTGGCTTAAGTGGTAGAGCATCATCCTAGTAAGCTCAAGACCTTGAGTTCAAATCCCAGTACCACCAAAAAAGTTTTATGCTACATGAATTTTTTTTTGGGGGGGGTCCGGTTGTGGGGCCTGAACTCTGGCCCTGAGCGCTGTCCCTAAGCTCTTCAGCTCAAGGCTCTACCACTTGAGCCACAGTGCCACTTCTGGCTTTTTTCTTTTTGCTTAAGTGGTGCTGAGGAATCTATCCCAGGGCCTCATGCATGCAAAGCAAGCACTCTACCACTGAGCCACCTTCCTAGCCCTACATGAATTATTTTAACAAAGCTAGTATTTAAAGAAAAATATATCACATTTAGAGAAGTGAGGGATGCTGAGGGATGGCATTTTATATTTATTCTCAGTTCTAACAAAGAAAGGAACCACTCATTTTATTTTTCTGTGTTTTCTCTCAGACTGTATACAAGCACTTAGGGATGGTGGGGTGGTGATCAGAGCTGTATCATAGTGTTTTTGTCAATACTGAGTTCTGTTCTAAACATTGGTATTCTTAGGGTAATGGGGAAAAAAACTATTCATAAAATTGTTGATTCTTTGCTCTGGATAAAGCAGGCAGGACACTGGACAGGAAGCTATTGCAGTTGATAAGCCTGAACAAAGGCTGGTAGGAGGGTATAAATGAGAGCTGGTAGTTTCTACTACCAGACACTTGTCTGCTTTAAGCAGGAAAAGGGAGCCAAGGCCTCCATGAGCACAGAGATCCTAGTGTTGCCATCCAAATATACCTTTCCTTCTCCTCTGTCATTAAAGCTAGAGGCAATGCTGGACCAATTAGAATAGAGGACATGTGACCAGCTGGGGCTGCTCACCTTTATGGTCACTACCTCCTTGAGACCAAAGGGATTTAGTGTCTGCTAAGACTTGAATGTATTCCACGGAAGATGAAGTTTTAGAAACTGAATTCCTGATGCAAACACTGTGAAAGTGTGAATGTAATTAGGCCAAGAGGGCTCTGCCCTCATGAATGGACTAACATCAATATCTCAAAAATGGGTTTGTTATATAAACAAATTGGAGTTGGGGGTTCCTGCTCTGTAGTACTCCCTTACTCTTCTGCCTTCCACTACGCGATGAGTTATAGGAAGATCCTTACCCAGTGCTGGCTTACTTCAAGTAGAACTCTCTAGCCCTCAGAAGTATAAGAAATCAAAGTGTTCTTTGTAAATTACAGTCACTGGTATTCTGTTATAACAAGATAAAATAGATTAAGAACTGAGCTAGGTTTTGTTATTTGTATAGGAAAAAAGTAGTGATCTTTTAATTTTTTCTTATGATGGTAAAAAATATACATTTATCATCTCACCCAGCTTCACATGTACTTTTGTTTGTCAGTCACAGGGCTTGAACTCAGGGCCTTAGTGCTGTCCCTGAGCTTTAGTGCTCAAGGCTAGCTCTCCTTTGAGCCACAACTTCACTTTCAGTTTGGAGTGGTAAATTGGATTCAAGAGTGTCATGGAGGGGCTGGGAAGTTGGCTCAGTGGTAGAACGCTCGCCTTACATGCTTAAGGCCCTGGGTTCGATTCCTCAGCACCACATGAGCAGAAAAAAAAGGCGGAAGTGGCACTGTGGCTCAAGTGGTAGAGTGCTAGCCTTGAGCTGAAGAGCTGAGGGACAGCGCCCAGGGCCAGAGTTCAGGCTCCACGACCGACACCCCCCCCGCCCTCACCCCCCAAAAAAAGCGTGTCATGGACTTTTCTGCCTGCGCTGGCTTCACACCTGGATCCTCAGAGTAGCTCAGCTCCTGAGTCTTTCAGAGTACTCAGCTCCTGAGTAGCTAGGATTACAGGCATGAGTCACCAGTGTCTGGCTTCACATTTACTCTTTTTTATATACCAGTCGGTTGTGGGGCATGAACTCTGGGCTTGGGCGCTGTCCCTGCGCTCTTCTTCAGCTCTACCACTTCAGCCACAGCACCACTTCCGAGTGGTTTATTGGAGATAAGAGTCTCACGGACTTTTCCTGCCCAAGCTGGCTTTGAACCATGATCCTCAGATCTCAGCCTCCTGAGTAGCTAGGATTACAGGCGTGAGCCACCAGCGTCCAGCCACATGTACTCTTGAGTGGTATAATGTGTGCCCATGTTATTGTGCAACAGATCTCTAGAATGTCCTTATCTTGCAAGTTAGATGCCAGTGACTCACACTTATTAATCTAACTACTCAGGAGCTTGAGATCTAACGATCCCTGTTCAAAGCCAACTTGGGCAGGGAAAGTTCATGAGACTCTTATCTTCAATTAATCAGCAAAAAGCCAGGATTAGTAGTGTGGCTCAAGTCATAGAATGCCATCTTGAGTGAAAAAAACTATGAAACAACTCCCAAGCCTTGAGTTCAATCAAGCTAAGTACTGGCACAATAACTGAGTAACTAAATAAATAATGTAAAACTGAACCAGTTGGCCAGGCGCCAATGGCTCACATCTGTAATCCTAGCTACTTAGGAGGCTGAGATCTGAGGATCATGGTTCAAAGCCAGCCCAGGGAAGAAATGTCCATTGAGACTCTGATCTCCAATCAAAACCAGAAGTGGCGCTGTGTCTCAAGAGGTAGAGCGCTTGCCTTGACCTGAAGAGCACAGGGACAGTACCCAGGCCCAGAGTTCAAACCCCACGACTGACAAAAAACAAAACAAAACAAAAAAACCTGAACCAGTTGGACAGTAGCTCCTCATTCTTCTCTGTCCCTAGCTCTTTTTTTTTTTTTTTTGGGTCCGGTCGTGGGGCCTGAACTCTGGGCCTGGGCGCTGTCCCTCAGCCTTCAGCTCAAGGCTAGCGCTCTACCCCTTGAGCCACAGCGCCACTTTCGGCTTTTTTCTTTTTGCTTATGTGGTGCTGAGGAATCGAACTCAGGGCCTCAGGCATGCAAGGCAAGCGCTCTACCACTGAGCCACCTTCCCAGCCCTTGTCCCTAGCTCTTGACACCAGCATTCTACATTCTGTAGCTGTACTTGATTACTCTAAGTATTTTACATAAGTGGCTGATTTCATTTGGTGCAATGTCCTTTAGATTCATTCATATTATCAAATGTGACAGGATTTCTTTACTTTAAACTTAAAGTATTAATACAATTCTAGCATTTTCATATATAATATTTTGTTTATCCATTCATTTGTTAATGGAAACCTGGTTTTCTTCTACCTCTTGACACTTCTGAATAAGGCTTCAATAAACATAGGTGTAGAATTACCTCTTTTAGTCTATTCTTTCCTTTGGATATAAACCAAGATGTGTGATCATGTAATTCATGTTGTTCCTATTTGAGAAACCTCTATATAGTTTTTCATGGTGGTTGTACCATTTTACATTTTCACTAGCAGGGCACAAGGATGATGATAATGATTCTTTTTCTTTTTTTGGGGGGGGTCCAGTCATGGGGCCTGAACTCTGGGCCTGGGCACTGTCCCTCAGCTCTTTAGCTCAAGGCTAGCGCTCTACTACTTGAGCCACAGCGCCACTTCTGACTTCTTTTCTTTTTGCTTATGTGGTGCTGGGGAATCGAACCCAGGGCCTCATGCATGCACAGCAAGCGCTCTACCACTGAGCCACCTTCCCTGCCCGATAATGATTCTTAATATAACTATATCTATATAATCCATATCAGGACAACACTGGCAAGTAATTTTTACAATAACAACTATGGCAAGTGATAGCTCCAAACCAAGCTTTAATTATTTGGAAGTATCAAAGGTCTCCAAAAAAAAAAAAACTAGGAAAACATATTTTCAAATGGAACTCTGATATCCATTTTTCCAGTTGGCAAAGAAGAATGAAATGGTGGTAGTATCTCCCATCCTGGAACGAGACAGAGGGGGCGTTCTATGGAACACAGCTGTGGTAATCTCCAATTCTGGAGCAATCTTGGGAAAGACCAGGAAGAACCATATCCCCAGAGTGGGTGATTTCAATGAGGTAAGCAGCCTGTCAAATGGCCAGCCCAGATTTTAGTGGGCCTATGGGGAAGTTCTGTGTTACACGATGTAACATGTAACACAAAAGAATAGAAGGTCTCATGACTTTGCCCTGTACTGAGATTCAAATGGTACTCTCAAGTGAATCACAGACTTTTTTGCATGGTAAGTTTTGTGTATATGTGCGCGTGCATGCATGCGTGTGTCGGTGTGTGTTTCATCATAACCTGAGATGGCTTTCTGAAATTCTCCTTTGCAGTAATTGCTACATAAATTAAAACCAAAATAATATTGATCCCTGTGGCCTCCTGGGCTCTGAGCTCCTAACTACTTGTGGCCCACCAGTGTTAGCTTTAGGGATGCTGTTCTTTGTCCGTGGCCCACATGTCTGAATTGTCCAATGTCCACATATCAAGTGAATAGGAGCAGGTGAATGTGCCTGTCTGTGTACATTGTGCCTACATGGAACTCCTTAAGCCTGTAAGTAAGACATAGATTGGGGGGGGAGGCTTTTTTGAATGGGTAAAGCCACTTCATAGGTGTGTGAGGTAAAGAGTGGATGTTTGAAGGAGGGGTATGAATTTAATCCCTAAGCTACTAAATCTAGACATGTTTTTTCCAATAATTATGGTAGTTGAAGATATGATATCCTCAATCCTTCAATCTCCTACCCTGATTATGGAAACTCAAGTCTCATGATGTGTATACCTTTAGCTCCCTGTTGGTAGTACAGAGCAGAAGACCTCTTTGCTCATTGTCCACCATGTGTGCACATCCTTGTTCCTGACTGACCGGGTGAATTTTGAAATTGATGAGACTCAGTAAAAGGCTCAGGTGCATATCTGTTTGGCATCCAGTTTTCCATCTATCCCTCCTGTGCAGTCCCTGATAATGTCCCACAGCCAGCACCCTGAGGGGGTAGGCAAGAGAGGTAGAGATGGGACAATGAGGTTTGTTGATGCTTGTTTTGCAGGTGCATTCTTAACCATGATGCTTAAGACACTTTGTGGCGGGTTTGGTTTTCACCACAGATTTGGTCTTAATAGCTAGAAAAGCTCCATGCCTTCTCAGGGAAAAGAAAGTTCTCTTTTCCCCTCCTGATAGGGCAAGGGTGGCTTGGATGAGTCTGTTACCACCAGCTATAATATTTGTATAAGGTCACGTGGTTGCTGAAGACCTCAACTGACTCATGTTAATATTGCTCACATTTCAGCTTTTTTATTCTTTTTTTGGGGGGGGGGTCTGGTCGTGGGGTCTGAACTCTGGGCCTGGGCACTGTCCCTCAGCTCTTCAGCTCAAGGCTAGCACTCTACCACTTGAGCTACAGCGCCACTTCTGGCTTTTTTCTTTTTGCTCATGTGGTACTGAGGAATCAACCCAGGGCCTCAGGCATGCAAGGCAAGTGCTCTACCACTGAGCCACCTTCCCAGCCCAGCTTTTTTATTCTTGAAAGATAGAAAGTTGCTTTAGGAATTTTTTGGACATGTCAAAAAGGAAGATTGTGGTGAAATGCTTAAGCCATACTGATTTCCTCACAGAGTTGATGTGTATTAGAGAGAGAAAGAGAGACGGACACACAGAGAGAGAGAAAGAATGAGTATATCATAGTGAAATTTTGGAGCTAGGCATTGGTGGCATACACCTGTAATCTTAGCTTCTCAGGAGGCTGAGATCTGAGGATCAGTGTTTCAAAGCCAACATGAACAGAAGAGCCCATGACACACTTTTCTCTAATTCACTACCAGAAAACTGGAAGTGGAGCTGTGGCTCAAAGTGGCAGAGCACTAGGCTTGAATACAAAATCTCAGGAACAGTGCCCAAGTCCTGAGTTCAAGCCCTACAACCTACATACACACACACAGATTTTTGGAACTTAAAGTTGCGTTGTATCCAAAGTGTACTTTCTGCTGTGTTTAAGGAGAGGGAAATTCTTACAGCTCATTGGCATAAATATAAAACTCTTTGTTGTTGTTGTTTTTGGTTGTTTTTTTTCAGTCAACATACTACATGGAAGGAAACCTAGGTCACCCTGTGTTCCAGACCCAATATGGGAGGATTGCGGTAAATATTTGCTATGGGCGGCACCACCCCCTCAACTGGCTCATGTACAGCATCAATGGAGCAGAGATCATCTTCAACCCTTCCGCAACCATCGGAGAGCTCAGGTTACTTGGGAGACAAGATCTGGGAGCTTCCTAGAAGCTAGACACCACCTCAGGTCCTTGCTATGGAGAAGGAAGATAGGAAATTGGATGGGAAGTTATTGACATTGATAAGCCTGAACTAAGGCTTATGAAGGAGGGAATGAATGAGAGCTAGTAGTAGAAGGATACTTGTCAGCTTTAAGCAGGAAAAGGGAGCCAAGGCCTCCATGAGCAAAGATCCTAGTGTTGCCATCCAAGTATACCTTTCCTTCTCCTCTGTCATTAAAGCTAGAGGCAATGCTGGACCAATTAGAATAGAGGACACCAGCTGCTCACCTTCATGGTCACTAGCTCCTGATGTTCTTGAGACCAAAGGGATTAGTGCCTGCCAAGAATGTAATCCCCAAAGTTGAGGTGTTAGAAATTTGACCCCTACCCCCATTGTAGGTGTTATGAGGTAGGGCTTTAAGAGCTGAGCATCCTACCCTAATAGTGGATTCATTTCAGTGTCGCAAGAGTGGATTTGTTATTAAATAAGTGGGAGCCAGACATGGTAGTACACACCTGTAATCCCAGCACTCAGGAGTTTGAAGCTGAGGATCACCAGCCTAGGCTCTGGCAGCCTCTGTGGCCCTGGGCAGGGCTTTCAGTGCTCCTCATTTAATACGAGCAGCAAGTGATGAGAGAGCTCCACAAGCCCTTGCTTGTTCACTTGGTTCTTCCCTTAAGGCTGAGCACTTGGGTGCTTTCCAGCTTTGCCTCCTAACAAGTAACAGAGCTTTGTGAATTCATATGCAAATATTTTTCTTAACTCACTTCCTCTAAGGCATGATGCCATAGCAAGAGGTGCTGGCTTCCACACTGTGTGGAAGGTGCCCAGGTTTTGGCAGAGCCATTCCCAATGCTGAGGTGGGGACAGCCAGTGGGGCTGTGTTGGACAGCTCTGAGTGCTCTGCTGTCCAATGCTTGTTTCTCTTCCCTAACAGAAATTTTAGACTAGTTTCTTCCTTCTTTGTCTGTCTTTCCTTCCTTCCTTCCTTCCTTCCTTTTCTCCCTCCTCCTCCCCCTTCTCTATCTCCTTCTTTGTGCTAATACCAAGGCTCCTACTGAAGGCCTTGTGGTCTTGCTTTGTTTTCACTCACAGCTATCACTCTACCACTTGAGCCACACATCCATTCCTGCATTTTGCTGGCTAATTAGAAATATAATCTCACAGAATTCTCTGTTGAGCTGAGAAAGCCAGGATCGTCAGTTCTCAGCTTCCTCAGAGGCTAAGATTATGAGTGTGAGCCACTGGTAACTGGCCTGGGAAATATCTTCTAAATGTCAGAATGTGATATTTAGTTTACCTTTTGATTTGAGCATGGTGCCCTGTTCTCAAGTAGCATCCCTTTGCATTCAGAGTTTGCACAGAACATCTTTAGCTGAAACAGAATATGTAGGTCTCTAGTTCCTTACTTCAGGTCCATCCCTGTCTGTGTATCCAGAGATGTCATCTGGGTATAGAAAATTTGCTATTGGGTAGGAGGAGAAAATCAGGCCTTGGACTTTCAGGCCTTAGAGTTTCCCCTCAGGGCATTATGGGTTGGTGACTTGAACATAAGGCATGGCAACCATTGCCAGTTGCAAAGCAAGATGCTTACTGATCATCTACCCATCAGGCCTGGATAGAAGGAACCCCTTTCTACCAACTATATGTAAACATTCTAAGAACTCCATCTTCCCTAATTAGTCCTAGAGGAGGCTGAAGCCCAGGTCCTGGGCACCTGAGCCTGAAGTGACTACAAACCCAGACAGGCTCTCACTGCGTGCTTACAGAGGCCCTCCCTGACCTGCTGTCTTAGGCTTTTATTAGGCCCAATTAAGCAAACAGAAGCAACCCAGGCCTGTCTGTGATTGTTCTCCACGACCTATTAAACTTATTAAAAATGATTGATTTTCCTTCCTTAGCCAAGAATCATCCAGCCCTCAGCTTTTAAGGGTGTGGCTGGGCCAGCAGTAAAAACTGTAGCAGATCTTTGGGAAAGCTCTATGGTTCTTGAGCTCCTACGATAGTCAAGCCCCTTGAACAGGTAATGATACTTCCAGAACTGTTTGTAGCCTGAGAAACTGATGTAAATAGAGGATGAGGCTGAGTATGTGAAGGTGTTTGTGACAGCAATATTTATAATAGGAAATCTGTCAGGGAGAGAGATGTCATGGTTCAGTAAATTTCATGGGTTATTGCCACTAAAAAGAAATATTATAATGGTAATGCAGGTTCATAACAAAAGCCTATGAGCAATTAAAAAATGCATCGATGAGCCTGGCTCACGCCTGTAATCCTAGCTACTCAGGAGGCTGAGATCTGAGGATCACGGTTCAAAGCTGGCCCGTCAAGAAAGACCTTGAAACTCTGATCTCCAATAAACCACCAGAAAACCAGAAGTGGCACTGTAGCTCAAGTGGCAGAGTGCTGGCCTTGAGCTGAAGAGCTGAGGGACAGCGCTCAGGCCCAGAGTTCAAGCCCCACGACTGACAAAAAAAAAATGCATCAATGGGACTAGGAAGGTGGCTCAGTGGTAGAGTGTTTGCCTTGCATGCATGAGGCCCTGGGTTCAGTTCCTCAGCAACATATAAGCAGAAAAAGCTAGAAGTGGTGCTGTGGCTCCAGTGGTAGAGTGCTAGCCTTGAGCTAAAGAGCTGAGGGACAGCGCCCAGACCCAGATTTCAAACCCCATGACCAACAAAAAATATAAATAAATTAATAAATGTATCAAGACTGATCCAATTTCGGTACTTCTTTTTGGCTTATGGATAAGGATGGTCATGAGATTATAGAAAAATGACAATGAAGCCAGGTGCTGGTGGCTCACGCCTGTAATCCTAGCTACTCAGAAGGCTAAGATCTGAGGATTGTGGTTCAAAGACAGCCCAGGCAGGAAAATCCGTGAGACTCTTATCTCCAGAAAACCAGAATTGGTGCTGTGGCTCAAGTGGTAGAGTGCTTACGTTGAACTGAATAGCCCAGGCTCAGAGTTCAAGCCCCACGACTGACAAAAAAAAGAAAGAAAAATTACAATGGGTAGTTTATTAGGACGGTGGATGATGTCTTTAAATGATTATTTGCATAACTGGTAGTGTTTGTAAATATAATGTCAGGCAAACCTCCATATTCAATATAGATTGAGAGCCATCCAACATCTCTGGCACAGGTAGCCCCTTTATCAGAGATAGACACATACTTGTACCTGTACTCTGTATGGGTCAACAAGGAGTCCTTGTTCATTGTGAGTCTCACAGCTCTAAGACCACAATACACTGTCAGTGCTTTTTCATTCATTAAGCATCCTGACATTTCCCAGGATATGTCTGGCACTGTCCAAGTGGCTAACCATTTTTGTTCAGTATAAAAGTCACCATCCACCCCCTCACTACATTCTGCTTTCCTGCTCTTACAATTTTTAGAGGATTGTGAACATGATACACTAGGAATATGACAGATGTTCCCATTCCATCAAATTCTTGATTTACACACTAGTCTTCTCTCAAGCCTTCTGCTTCCTTTTCTTCCGTAGTGGTTTTAAGACCATTTCATTCCATTGTCAGCTGTGCAGTTTGGGTCCTGTGCAGATCACCTCCCTGGAGAATTGCAAGAAAGATATTTTATAGCAATTACCCCCTACATACCTATTTAATTCCTGAAAAATGTCATCTGTGGGCGTGTTTCTATAAAACTCCTTTCTTAAAAGTTTTGTCAGCTTTGGCTTAGCAGCTGGGGGAAAAGTATCCCAACAAAATGAGTCCCCTCAGTCAAGCTCAAGATTTCTTTTTCCAGACTTGTGAATCCTTTCGAGCAGTAGGCTGTGACAATCACCCACTCCAACCACCTACTTCCTAGTTGAAACCAGGTGCATGGTGACAGGAAGATTCCAGGACATTGTGCTCCCAGCCACTAAGTATTTCTAAGAGGGCACTGCATCTGCCTGACTAGAATATTAGTGGTGTTGTTCCTTAAGAGATAATGACCAGCAGGCTCACTGCATTCCATGGCACACTTCATTTAGTAGACTGAAGGACAAGGCAGTTTGGAATGAAGTCTCCCATCGTACTTTCTCTGTGATGGGTGCTAGATCGAAGAAGGCCCACACAGCTCAGCTGTGCCTATGAGATGACTAATAAGAGAACCAAGGAGCCCTTGGCTAGAGAATAAGTGTTCAGAGGAGGAAATGAATGGCAAAGTGTTGGGCAATAGGGCCCAACGAGAGGTGGGAACTTTTCTGTAGCATGTGACACTTCTGCCCCAATATCACTATCTAAACTCCTTTTCCTGTTTTACTCTGAAATCTAGCCCTTTGGAGACTATGCAAGGCAGCGCAGCAGGATAGGAGAGTAAGCATAAGGGCTGAGAGGGAGGGTACTGAATGCTCACGGGCCAGGTACTAGCTCCTTAGGCCCCCAGATCCCCTCAGGAATCGGAGTTCAGCCTCTATGGGGAGGAGGTAGAAGACCTGGCAATTATTGGATTCACGCCATAGGAGCTTTATCACGCCATATGGAGCTTTATCTGCATACTCATTTAGTTTTCAGTCTTGTTTTTAGGAAGTTTTGGAGGAAGACACTAAGAATGAGAGTTTGCTCTATGGCTGGTTGACTCTCCTGATAGACCACAGCAGGCCTGAAGTTGGTTTTAGCCTGTAGCTAGCCATCCCCCCCCCCCCGCCTCAAAGTTGCTTGGGCTCAACCAAGTTGTTGAGAACAAGCTGATCTGCTTGTACAGTCTTTTTGTTTTTGTTATTTTGTTGTGTGTAGTCTAGTCTGACCTCAAGTTCATGATCTTCCCTCAGCCTCTCAAATCCTGATATAGTACAGACTTGTGCTACCATGGTTGGCTCCACTCTCAGGTTTGAGGAGACCTAGAGGTACAATGATTCTCCCTGGCTGTCCCCACCACAGCAGCCCGGCTGCAGCCCCAGTTTGATCAGCCACTGAGTCTGGCCGGAAAATCTCCAACTTACTCCCTCCTGTTTCTCTTACAGTGAATCGCTGTGGCCAATTGAGGCCAGAAATGCAGCCATTGCCAACCACTGTTTCACTTGTGCCATTAACCGTGTGGGTGAGGTAAGTCTCCCAGTTCTGGTTGAGGAAGGGAGCTCTGGCCTTGGTGGGGACACATCACAGGTGTCTCCCTGTTCTCCATGTATGCAGTCTCAGAAGGGGGAAACTGGCTTCACGTGGTACTACTTTTTGTTTTTAACCAAAATCATTCTGAGAGGATCTTTGATTTTGTAGTTCTCAATTGCTCATTGCCAAATTTCCTTCTTTGACCTCATGAATAGATCCTATGAACTGAATAGCTTTGACAGAAACTATGTTTATTTCATACTAGCATTCTCCCACCTCTGTCTCTGTCTCTGTTTCTGTGTGAGTGTGACTCACAATTTGAACCCAGGGCCTTGTACATCTGAGGCAAGACTACTATACACTAGGCACATTTTCACCCTCTCTTCCTTCTTCTTAATAATCAAATGTTAAACTCACATTAGAACATCTGACAAGTCTGAGAAAACGAAGGTTTGCAGACATCCACACTAAGTCGACTGACTTTGCACTTTGGGCAACATAAAAAACTCCATACTTTAGCCAGTCCAGGGTCTCAGTATTTTAGAAAGACTAACCTCATATGCTTTCCACAATCTTAAGAATTAGGATTTTTTTCCTCCCAGATTACAAATTCCTCATAGACAAAAATAAAAAATAAAAATCTGCCTTTACCTCCCTTGTCAAATTCCTTGCTGGCTAGGCATTGCTCAATGCTCAGTGAAACATTTAACAAGTACGTCTTGTTTGTCTAGAGTCAGACCCTTCCACCTCCCTTCAACCATTTCTTAGCTAACTTCCCTCAGCATGCCCTCTGTTGTTGATCTGGCCAAGTGATCTGGAATGCATGTCACAGTAGTGCCACCCATAGCCTTCTCTTACTTTGCTTTTCCTTCATAGGAGCACTTCCCCAATGAGTTTACTTCTGGAGATGGAAAGAAAGGTAGGTTCTGTGGACTCTTGTTTTGGTGGGTCCCACCCTCCCCTTGTCCATTTACTTGTTCCTGGCAGGGTCTGCCCACAGCCTGAGTCAGCTCAGTGGAGACCCTGACTCCTCTGCTTTGTTGCCTGTGGTGGGAGATCTTCTATGGCATGGACAGCCAAAGGGGGATTGGCTTCACACCCCTCCCAGAACTGTGAAAACGTGTGAGGACTCCCCATAAGGGGGCTCCCTGCAGCCTGCAAAAACCCCCTCCCTCCTTCCTTTCCTTGCCACCACCCAGTCAACAAAGACTGCCTTAGGTTTCTGGAACCCATAGCTTGTTTTGATCTGTGACACCCCACAACACCTCTGTAGGAAACCTACACAGTTCCTATCTGGCTTAGGATGTGGAAAGGAGGAGGGGCTTCCCTTCTCCTTTAGGTGTCTCAATTTCCTGGAGGTGGCAGGTGGGGTCCCCTCCCTAAGAACCTAAGGGGTTAGCAGGATGGTGAGATCTATTTTCTTCCCAAGAAAAGACTTCTTTTTTTTTTTTTTTTTGTAAGACCATTCCCAGCCTTTCTACTCATTCCCAAGAGTTCAGCCACTCTTGATACGGCAGCTACTTTTAAGAAAAGACTTCTTAAAGGGATTCCACACCCCCATCACGAGTGCCCAGATGACACCCAGACCTGAATTCTTCAATATCAATTAGCCTACTGCATTCTTCAATATCAATTAACATACAAAAGAGGCAGAAAGATGAGTGTTTTTAGCTACATAGTCCCAGCCCGACAGCCACAAACTCTTCACATGCCTCTGGGGTATCTCTTGGCCTCTGATGACTGGTGAGAGGACCAAGGCATAGGAGGGGGGTAAAGTGACAGAGCTTACAGGACAGTTTACTAAGTGGGACACCATAGGAAGTGGTCATACAGGAAGCCCTGAGTGTGGGTGGCCAGTGTTGATAGTGAAAAGCCAACACTGCTTAAGGGTGACATTTAGAAAGTTTCTCAGAGTCAGAGTGGAATAACACAGTGGTCACCTTTGCAGCCTCTCGGTAGATGTTCAGGCAGGCGGAAGCGGCCAAGTCCTTTGGGCGTAGGTGTTTTCCAGACTCTGGGGAGGGTGGTATGGACACCTTATCCTGGTTTCCCTCAGGGTCCCTCAGGGCTCTGCCTTCTGCAGAGCCCACACTGTGTGTGTACAAGCTTGTGATTGCTTCCCTTTGCGTCTTAAAGCTCACCATGACTTCGGCTACTTTTATGGCTCGAGCTATGTGGCAGCCCCTGATGGCAGCCGGACTCCTGGGCTGTCACGTAACCAGGATGGGCTGCTAGTTGCTGAGCTCAACCTCAACCTCTGCCAGCAGATGAATGACATGTGGAACTTTAAGGTGGGTGCCCAAGTCCCCTGCCTCCTGCCTCACCATCTTGCCTATTGGGCCAGAAATTGCAGTTGCCTGGTTTGTACTCAGATGACCTGCAGAGGGTGCCCACTCTCACCTGAGAGTTCCAGGAGTGCAGAGAGCCAGGCCTGTGCTTCCCTCCTGCCTGCAGGGATGAGCCACTGGGCTTCAGGATGCGCCTGCAGCAGCCTCAGGTCCTCCTCTCATCTGATTTAGAGTGCAGCGCCTCCACACAAATTAATCCCAATTTCATTTATCCTGTGACTAGAGTGGATTGGCTTCTGTAATCTTTTTTTTTTTTCCTTTCCAGGCATTTGCACTTGTTGAAAGATAAATGTGTGTGTCTGGTTCTGTCTGTGACCAGGCTCCACAAAGTAGGCCTGGACAATGGTGGGAAATGGATCATGTAGAGAAACTGGATCCAGGCCTGGCTCTGGCTCTGCCTTGGCCTTGCAGGCAGCTTTTGCTTCTAGGCTTGAGGACTGATCATAAAATGAGAGGCCTAACTCAAGGACTCTCTGCTGCTTTTTTTTTGCCAGTTGTGAGGCCTGAATTCTGGGCCTGGGCGCTGTCCCCCAGCTCTTCAACTCAAGGCTAGTGCTCTACCACTGGAGCCACAGCGCCACTTCCGGCTTTTTCTGCTTATGTGGTGCTGAGGAATCAAACCCAGGGCCTCATGCATGCGAGGCAAGCGCTCTACCACTGAGCCACCTTCCCAGTCCCTCTCTGCTGCCTTTGAGGTAGAACATCATCACAGTCTAAGAGGACTGTTCGGGCCTATCATCTGAGGTGGGAGAGTGGCTGCCAAGACTAGGGTCATCTGGAAGAGCTTAGAGGTTGAATGTTTGCTATACTCAAGTCCTGTAGTATTTTGTCCCACTTCCAGTCTAGGTTCCTCCTAATCAAAACAAACCAAACCACTGAGTCCTGACAATCAGACTTCACTGGGGCTGTGATCTGCTTATAAACAGACTGAGAAGCCTTGCCTTCTCCACTTACTTGTGCATGGGGTATTGGAAATGTCCTCCAACCTCAAATCCTTGCCGGACAAAGGCTTTGCCCTAATCTGTCTCTTTTTGGACAGCTAAGATGAATGCAGGATTCTTGTAACTCAGAAGGCCCAGCCAATACTGCCAACTACCTAGTTTAACAAGTATCACCAGAAGCAATAAGCAGAATATTTTCTCATTAGATACTTGCTCAAAACAGAGCCTTCCCCATAATTGTGATGAGTGTGAGCTGATGTCCAGGTTTTGAGAAGGAGCTGACTTGTGGAGGAGAGAGGCAGGGGGCAGGGAGGTGAGTATAACTGGGAATGTGTAACCTAAGTGGACTTTCTGGCTTTTCATCCCTAGTCGCTGTTTCCCTATGGAATTTCCACATGGAGCAGACCTACTTCATACTCTGCCAGGAAAGTCAAGTTTAAATTCCCAGTGTTCTCTGCTCCTGGTTCTAGTGACCTGAAGAAGTCACTTCCTTTTCTGAGACTTACTTAGGCTGCTCTTCTGAAATTCTTCATGACTGCCTCAGAGGAAGCCATGTAGCCTGGAAGGTGCTGGTTGCAGGTCTCAGCAGGCTGTCCTGGACTGTGAGAGTGAGCTTGGCACTCACGAACCTCACGGGAATCCGGGCAGAGAGGTCACACTGGAGGTGCTTTTCTATTCTAGTCTGGAACTGTCCTGTCTGCCAGCCTGATGAATTCCTGTCCCGTGGCTGCCCCCCAGTGGCAAGAGGTAGAGGTAAGCAAGTGTTTGTAAACAGGAAACTACAAATGTGTGTGTTTTGCTTTCAGATGACTGGCAGATATGAAATGTATGCTCGGGAGCTTGCAGAAGCTGTCAAACCCAACTACCATCCCACCATCATGATGGAGTCCTTGACTTCAGCCTCTGCCTACCAACATGGGGAGGAGCAGGAATCTCTGTCCCTAGTGGATTCATATCATAGTACCTAGAGAAGTTTTTAAATGTACCTGCAGGGGGAAGGTGCAGTGGAGAGTGACTGCTAAAAATGGGTGCAGAGTTACCTTCTGGGACAATTGAACTGTTTTGGTGTTAGAGTCAGGTGATGATTACACAAGATCGAACGAAATTAAATACTACCAGGGGCTGGGAAAGTGGCTCAGTGGTAGAACGCTTGCCATTGCATGCATGAGGCCCTGGGTTTGATTCCCCAGCACCACATAAGCAAAAAGAAAAAAAGCCGGAAGTGGCGCTGTGGCTCAAGTGATAGAGGGCTAGCCTTGAGCTGAAGAGCTGAGGGACAGCACCCCACGACTGGACCCCCCCAAAAAAGAAATTAAATACCTCCAGATTGTGGGGTCCTTCAGCATCCAAAAACTTCCTGCTTCAGTTTTCCCAGGAGAAGAAGATAGTTGGCCTAATAAGTGACAAGTTGGTACCTTTAGGAAATAAGTACTAATGTATTAGACACTATTTGATTATCCACACCCCTGATTGTCTAGAAACAGAATGGAGATGCCTGTCTTAGAGTAGGCAGACCCTGAGTAGATGTGGTCATTTCAGGGTTGGCCTCTTACCTAGAACTTAACGTGCTCAATAGACATTTGTTCCATGACTGCCCTGTGATTAGGACAGGTGTCAGGGGCAGACTCCTAGGCAAGAACTTGCAATGATCTGTGACCTGCTTGCCCTAGGACCCCTGTGCAATCTTGGAGAACACCTTCGGATCCCTCAATTTTGTCAGCTATGAGAAGGTGACATCTGTGAGATGACTGACTGAGGTGCAGAGCTTTTCTTAGATCCCCGAGTTCTGGCAAGCAACCTTCATGACAGGTCCCAGAATTACTTTGGTGCTGGTGATTGAACCCTGGGCCTCACACATAATAAACACAAATGGAATTCTCAACAATAGACTATATGTTATACCTTAAAATAAATCTGAATACATTGAGAAGAAGCCTGGGAAATTGAAAAATTGGTGGGAAGTAATGACTATTCTTTATTTTTTTTCACTGCTGGGAAACAAACTCAGAATCTTATCCACGGTAGGCAAGCACTCCAGCAGTGAGATACATTATTCTGTCCAACAAAACATTCTTCTTTTCTTGCCTTTTTTTTTTTGGCAAGTCCTGAGGTTTGAACTCAGGGCCTAGACACTGTCCCTGAGCCTCTTTGTGCAGAAGGCTAGCACTCTACCACTTGAGCCACAGTTCCACTCCAGGATTTTTTTTTTTGAGAAGTTTAATGGAGATAAGAGTCTCTTGGAGACTTTTCTGTATGGGCTGACTTTAAACCTGTATCTTCAGAGCTCAGCCTTCTGATTAGGATTACAGGCATGAGCCACCAGCTCAACAAAACATTGTTGAAACACCAAGGAAGTTAGAAAATATCTTGAGGCACACGAAAACAAAAACAGTGTCACCGCTGTGGAGGCTCTTGACTATCAGAATAGCTACTGAGGAGATGGAATTAGGGAGGATCTTAGTTTGAGGCTAGCCCTGGCAAAAGTTCGAGACTTCATTTTAACCAATAAAGCTGGATGCAGTGGTGCACACTTGTCACCCCAGCTGCATGGGAAGGAAGAACAGTGAAGGCAGGGAGAGCTGGGTGAATGGCTTAAGTGTTAGAGTACCTGGCTAGCAAGTATAAGACTGCGAGTCCAGGGACTGGGAAGGTGGCTCAGTGGTAGAGTGCTTGCCTTGCATGTAAGAGGCCCTGGGTTCGATTCCTCAGCACCACATAAGCAAAAAGAAAAAAGCCGGAAGTGGTGCTGTGGCTCAAGTGGTAGAGTGCTAGCCTTGAGCTGAAGAGCTGAGGGTCAGCGCCCAGGCCCAGAGTTCAGGCCCCACGACCAGACCCGAAAAAAAAAGACTGTGAGTCCAAACCCTAGTACTACCAAAGGGGGAGGAAAACACTGTAACAGAACTTAGCAAAAAGCCATGCCGGGCACCAGAGGCTCACGCCTGTAATTCTAGCTACTCAAGAGGCTGAGAGTTGAGGATGGCAGTTCAAAGCCAGCCCAGGCAGGAAAGTCGTGAGGCTCTTATTGCCAATTAAAAAACCACTAGAAAACCAGAAGTGGCGCTGATGGCTCAAGTGGTAGAACGCTTGCCTTGAGCTGAAGAATGCAGGGACAGTGCCCAAGCCCAGAGTTCAAGCCCCATGACCTACCTAAAAAAAAACAAAACAAAAAAGCCATGCCAACAAAGAATATAGTATAAATACTTGTATTGAAAAATAGATTTTTCTAGCTATTTGGTAGGTTGAAATTGGGAGGATTGTGATTTGAGGCCAGTCTGGGCAAAAAAAGTCCATGAGACCCCCATCTCAACCCAATAAAAGCTGGTATGGCTGTTAATCCCATTATGTGGGGGGGGGAGCAGGAGGGGGACGAAGGTGGGAGGAGGGCAGAGCAGAGATAGGGAGGATTGCATTTCTAGAAGCATCCCAGACAAAATTTGTGAGACTCCATTTCAAAGCTAGGCATGGTAGTGTGCTCCTGTCATCTTGGCTACGTAGGAAGCATAAAAAGATCACAGTCTAGGCTCAAAGGCATAAACATGAGACCCCATTTAATAAAGCAAAAAGGGCAGGGAGGCATGGCTGTCAGGTCACCTGCCTTGCAACACAAGTCCCTGAATTCAAATCCTCCTGCAGCCAAACAACAAAACCCAAACCAACAACCAAACTTCATGCATTATTCACATGTTAATGGATAAAAAAAGAGCAAATGAAATTCTGTGCTGGCCAAAGGATTAGAGAAGAGAAATAACTAGAAAAGAGAAAAATGACAGGCAGTCAGTGAAACCAAATGTTTATTTTTCAAGAAAACAAAGCTAGGCGGCATATACATAGCTGTAACCCCAGTACTTAGGAGGTGAAGACAGGGGGATCGATCATGAGTTCAAGGCCAGCCTGGGCTGCATCCTGTCTTAAAAATGACAGCCTTTATATTAAGAAAAAAAAATACCTGGAAATTTAGCAGTAAAAATGGGAGCATTGCTAGTGATTTTACAGAAATAAAAAGAATGTCAAGATAATCGTATGGACAATATATACCAACAACCTGGATACTCTAGGTGAAATGGACAAAGCTGTAGAAACAAAACCTACCAAGATTGAGTCATGAAGGAACAGGAAAATCTGAATAGACTTAGACTAGCAAGGAGAACTAATCAATAAAGACTTTGAGAGAACATTTGAACCAGGTAGTGAATTCTACCAAAAAATTTAAAGAACTAGTAACACTCTTCAAGCTCTTCCAAAAAATTGGAGGAATACTTCCTAACTTGCTCTATGAGGCCAACACTAATGTCAAAGTCGAAGACACTGCAAAAAACAACAGACAAGCCAGGTGCCCATGATTCATGCTGTAATCCTAGCTACTAAGAAGGCTGAGATCTGGAGATAGAGGTTCAAAGCCAGCCTGGGCAGGAAACCCCATGAGACTCTTTATTGAACTTCCAAAAGCCAGAAGTGGCTCAAGGCGTAGAATGCTAACCTTGAGAGAAAAACTAAGCAGACAACACCTTAGGGACAGCACCCAAGCCTTGAGTTCAAATCTCATGGTTGATACAAAACAAAAACAGAAAAAACAACCCCAAAAATTTATAGGTAGATAGCCCTTGTACTGCTTTTTAGATGGATTCTTGCTTTGTGGCCCAGGTTGGGTTCATTTGTCCTGCTTGGACTATAGATAGGTACCACTGAGCTTGGCTTCCTTGTGAATATTGATGCAAAACTCCCCAACAGATTCCCAACAAACCAAATTGAACAATTAAGATGTTCATTTACCACAACTAGGTGGGATTTATTCTTGGAGTACAAAGCTGTTTCACTATAGTTGGTAGGGAAACCAATACATCACATTAACAGAATGGTTTTTGTTAATTCTGGTCATTAATGTGACTATCGTAATTGATAAAGAACATTTGGCAAAATTGGAGGAGGGAACCAAGAAAACCTTTTAGAACTAATCATCTAATTTAGAAAATTGGCCACATACTAAGACTATTTTCACAATTAAAAAGAAAGAAAGACTGCCACTTTTTTCCAGTACTGGGACTTGAAATCAGGGCCTTCAGCTTATTCAGCTGGTGCTCTACCAATTGAGCTATGCCCCCTAGAACAGCTTTTTTCTTTGGTCGGTTGTGGGGCTTGGCCTCAGGGCCTGGGAACTATCCCTGAGCCTCTTTGTGCTCAAGGCTAGTGCTCTACCACTTGAGCCACAGCACCACTTCCAGTTTTCTATTGGTTGATTGGAGATAGTCTCACAGACTTTTCTGCCTGGGCTGGCTTTGAACTGCAATCCTCAGATCTCACACTCCTGAGTATCTAGGACTACAGGTGTGAGCCATCAGTGCCCAGCTCACTTCCAGTTTCTGAGTGGTTAATTAGAGATAAATATGTACTTTTCTGCCTGGCCTGGCTTCAAACTGCAGTCCTCAGCTCTCAGCCTTTTGAGTGATTAGGATTATAGGCATGAGCCACCAGTGCCCAGCCAGAACAGCTTTTTGATTATTATTTTGGTGATGTGTGCATTTCTGCCTAGGCTTCCCTCAAATCTCTCGGTTTCAGCCTTCTAAGTAGCTAGGATTATAGGTGTGAGAGACTGCATAAGGATCATTGTTTCCAATTTCTAATCAACATTGTGTTTTGGAAATTCTAGACAAAACAGTTGACCAGATGAAATTTTTTTAAAAAATGTTCCCTGTTTGCAAGGAACAAAATCTTACATATAGAAAGCCAAGGATTCCACTCTCTAATAACTTTTAGAAGTAATAAGTTAACAAATTGGCATGGTACAAAATGAACACACAAAGCCAAGTATGGTAGCACAAACCAGCACCAGGAAGTAGAGGCAAGAAGCTTGACCTGGGTTATATAGATCCTATCTCAATAAAATAAACCAAAAATATTAACATTTAAAAATATTAGTGTTTCTATTCACTAACAAATCCAAAAGGAAATTAAAACACTTCTATAACAATAGTATCAAAAAAGAATAATACCTAGGAGTTGACCCAGTAAGATGAAACATTACTGAAGAAAAGATCATCTAAATAGCTCATTTTCTTGAGTTGGAAAACTTAATATTTTTGAAAAGTGGATAGTACACAAAACACTATATAGATTCAACACAATTACTATAAAAATTCCAGTGATTTTTTTTTTGAAAAAATTTAAGTAGTTGTACAAAGGACCTTTTTTCATA